TTGTTCAGGATTAAGACCACATGAACCTGAGTGTGTCTAGACTGCAGGGTGGCAGTGGTTCACGGCGGGGCCAAGCTGTGAAAGGGCGAACGGGTGAGTGCAGTCTGGAACATGGAAGACCGTGGGAGATGAACCCGAGGTGGAAGGAGGGAAAGATTGTGATGGTGTTGCGATGGTGGAAAAGGAAAGCGCGATGTAGATGGAACGGGAGGCCACCTGATCCATCGTGGGTCGGTTGATGCGGAGAACGCCTCATCTGTCTCGCTCTTTCCTACTTTGTCACATCTCGCGAGCGCATGCGGTTGGTTCTTTCCAGAATTGGACCATGCCACTTAGTTCTTTGAGCTCTTTTGGTGTTTTTTTCCTTCCAATTTGGACTTGGAAGACAGGGAAGGAACAACCACTGAGCGGCGCAACCTAATGGTCGCTCGGGTGAATTTCTCGGCAACAATGTTGGTGAAATAGGATACTGTTGGTATTGGCTCAAGATTAGTTCACGAGACCTGAAGTGTTATTGAAATCAACAAGAATTACAACATCGATTGTTGGTACCTTAATCATTGATCTTTCGCTCTCCGAAACACGCATTATTGGACGTGATCTCACTCAAGACATTGGGGCTTCTTTGCCATACGTCGCCATTTCTCGTAAAGGACCGTACACGAGCTTCGCGATGCTTGAAGTCTTCCAGAATGGTCAAGGAGATTGCTCAGTGTTGCTACAAGGCGGCGGCACCGCGGGTGCCCAGGCTGCACGCAGCGTCTGATGGGCGAAATCCTACATCATCACCATGACAACAGATTGGGTTAGTTCAAGACATGTGGGCGGGAAGGCGTCTTAGACAAGACCATCTGGCGCCCAATATTCATCCACAACATGCTCCTAGCCGCGACCTACCTGTCTGTGTGGTATGGGAACGAGTGTCGAAGGAGCGGTAAACCTTTGGTGTGAGTTTGGTATCACGCAGCTGTCCCATTCCTGTTTCTCTACTGCAGAAATAGAAGACAGCCCAGTGGATTTGGACATGCTCCGTCCTCTTAATCATGCCGAAACGTGGATCTGCTCATCTTAGTACGTATATGCAGCCCAGCTGTGCTCTGCCTCTTCTGATGCCCTTCTGACTGCCTGATCTTACCTTTGTGCGCAGAATGTTGCCTATGTATGCTCTTGCAGAAAGCTAGGGATTATACATATGTCCAGGACTGCCAGGCGTCTAGGATCCGGGATGGTGCAGACTGGCCGCCGTCCTCGTATAACCAATACTGTCCGAGTATTGGTTCATCGACACTATTGGAGAATGGGAACAGTCCATAGCCTAGGTGAGTGACTCCCTCTTCGGTCGACGTGATATGCAGCAACCGAGTCACAGCATCACAGCTCTCCTCGCTCGTTGAACCATTGACGTGGTCATCACCATCATCGGGATATCCAGACCAGCGGGCTCGGTTGCACAAAAGGTGGGGGCCTGGGCAGTGGTGTTGTTGCCATTATCACCAGTCGGTGACAAAGCGGGCGCGCGGTGATCTCCATAAACGGAAACACTCAAGGCTGAACCCGCGTTGCAATTGGCTCGGCCCGGTGGCTGCAGTATACATTGATCAGCATGCTATCAAGAGAACAACGTAGTCCAGTGAAAAAGCCACGATGCTCACTACCATCGGCCCAGATAACATTACCGACGAGAATAACAGAAACTCAAGGCAACAGGGTAATCATGGTACAGTGCCTACTCAAAAGGAATCGGTCTCGGAGGTGTAACAGGGTGGAAAGCGACCGTCTTGGATCTGTAGAGCGAATCAGCCCATCCACTGTGGTGATTATCAGATGAACCGCTTCAGAGTTACAGCTAACCATCTGCATTATTTTTGGAATCTGTCACAATTCAGTCATGAATTGCGTACTTGCAGTTGTTATTGTACCTCCTGGTGTTGTCCTGAGCCAACTCCTCCGAGGCGAGGCAATTCAATTGGGACGGTTCCGTTACACCTTGATAGCCGGCACACACGGCCGCGTGCCTTGCTTCCTCGCCAGGGCAACATCAATCTAGAACTCATACGTCGTGATGACGGTCAGCTTACTCACGCCTCGCTTCCTGTTCGGCACGGCCCTATTCCTCTTGGTGGTGATGGGGAGGAGAGGGAGGGAAGTGCTGTAGGGGATGGAAAGAGATGACCGCGCGGTTATTCTAATTCTCCGCTTACAGAAGCAAATCCCGCAACCTGATATTCTCGAATTAGTCTGCGGCTAGCTCTCCTAGTACCTTGATGCCCTGTGTCTGAAGGTTAAAGATGGGTCTCAAAAGATGGGGAGTCTCAAGTCCCCGAAAATGCAGGGTAGCAGGCGGGGATGGCCTCACATCACACACAGTGTCTATTCCTCAATCACTCAACTTGCCGTTCTTCACATCAAAGAGACCAGATTCTCTCAGATACACTCCTCATTCCGTCGACTTTCCGCTCTCATCGCTTCACGCAACGCAATGCACAATGCTCTACTCCCTACGTACCTGCCTACCTCTACATTAGCTTATCATGCACCAACCACAGCAGATTGTACCTTGGCCTAACCCGGGAGAAGGCCCAGCTATGATGTTGTTGATGACGGGATGCCGTGTGCCCTGTCCCCGTAAGCGTGGTTCCCGGAACCTGGACACTGCAATCTCAATGAGACCACTGACTAGACCACTACTCCCAGAAGGGTCGTCCCGGCGTTTCGAAGCGTGAGCGAAGCGGAATGGAAGCTGGAGGGGTGTTTTGAGCGACCCCGAGATCCAGGCCTGTCAGGTCCCTGCACTTTGGTACGTGTGCGTTGTGGATTTTTGTTGGTAACGATGTTGCAAACAATGTACTTGTCAGTTTGTATGTACAAGAGACGAAGGTCGACACGGGATGGAGGAACCAAAAAAGAAGGTTTGGTTCGTCCGTTCCGGCCGGCTTGATAGTGTGCAACCCGTGTTCCTGATTGGGCAAGGAATCAGTTGTACTGGTTAAACGCATATCACAATATCGCAAAGGATGGAAAGATTGTACGAACTTTACCGATGAACCCTCGCTTTGTGACATACCGAATCAGTGATGATGATGACATGGTGGTCGGCAGACATGACATTCGATACCAAGGGTTCCTCTTGATATGCACCTTTGTAGAAAGTAGATACCAAAGTTTTGTATGATATGCAAATGAAGGAAGCCACTGGGTGTTGGTACAGCAAGACCTCTTCTTACCTCGGGCTGCCTGGGTTTTGTTGCATTACTGATTACAGGCATCTTTGACTGCATCTTTGACTGCATCTTCAACCTGCAGGAATAGTTGACCTGGCCGGGGATGGGAGCCGCCGCAGACCAACTGAAGGCGGGCATGTATTTCCCGAGCGTCTGACTAGACCTCATGATTGGGACTGGCCTGTAACTACTGGAGGAATCCATGACATTTCGAGTCCAAATCCATCAACTTGACAATAGCTAGTCTAAAGACAACTTTCCACATTCGATGAGCTCACTATGTACGAGTCGCAAGTAACTTCCCGGATAGGGGATTTTTAAAGTAGAGGTAGCTGAGCAAAGTGGAATGGGGAAACCACGACCACCTTGGACAGGAAGACGGCAGGGTGGGAAGGTCGCGGGGCGTCGGGCGTGGACCGAGGGTGTGGTTCTAGTCGTTCACTAACAGGCCTGGGGGTACCCCTCTGTGCCCCGGGCCTGTACCCCTTCCCAATCCCTATGGTAGCGGGGGTGGGAGGTCGATCGTTTTTGGGTGGGAACCCTTCCGATCGACAATGGAAGCCACACCCAACCACGACCGACGGTGAACCTCCTCCAAAATCTTAATACCGAACCATGCATGTATTTAGTTCCTTCCAATCGCGCATCGATTCACACAAGCCGACAATTGCCCAACTTGGATCCCATCGGACTTGTGGAAGGGGCAGACTTCCATTTCACGCCTGGCCTCCTTCCAGATGGCCCAGTCACTCGAGTCCACCTGCCTGGCAATCTGGGACGACCTGAAAGGACGGGACTGTGACAGTCCATGGCAGGTCCAACCCACGGGCTGCCAGTGACGGCTGCTGTGGAGGGCGGGAGTCCGGCGAGGAGTGAGTGTTAGGTAAGGTACCCAGACGACAAGTACCAGATACCGACCAACCCTAGGTAGACCTGTGGCCGCCGGGCGCTGTGGGAGGCTGAGCCAGATTCATTTTTGAACGATGGACATGAATGTACCGCTGAGCTGCCTCATTTAACCAAGTATAGGTACGTACCTACCAGTCATGTCGCCTGCAGCTGTGGTTATCCTTGCGTGTCCCTGGCCAGAAAAAAATGAACCTCCCGTCAACCATAACCTTGCTGATGGGGAGCTTGAAGTTGGCCCCCCTCAAACAGAGCTATCTTCATCTCTCAACGTCACCATCAAACACGCAAAGAGCATCTCTTCAGACAGCGCACTGCACATCTACCACACTCAGCATCCATGAGCATCTTTGGGCTGTCCGGGCAAGATAACCAGGTCCTCCCTGTTCCTTAAACCACGAACTGAATCCGAGGGCTCGGTGTTCTACCTGATATCAGCATCGGCATGTCTGATTTGGAAAAGAGGAGTCTATTTCTTGATATAAGCAGGCACGACAGGCACTCGCAGAGCAACTTTCTGGTTTTGAATGAATGGGGCGGCAAATAGCTAGGCATGGAAGTTCGTCCAGCTATCTGCTGCTGCGCGCGCCTCGTGTGGCAGCCTCGGTACTACATGCATAATGTATGTAGGCATATAACATCTCCTCCCCCCACCCTTCATCTGTTACAGCTCGAAATTTTCTTTTAGAGTGGTAACCTACCTTACCTGTGGCATGTCTTTCGATAAATCCAGTGCTTCACTTCCAACATCCCTCTACTTATACATCAACGGACATCCCCCAACTCTGGCGTTTCCCTTCTTCCCCCTTGAACACCTCTACACACGTCCATTTTCACGCCTCAACGCACTATCCCGCCGACAACACAATCACAATGCCTCAGGAGGCACTGAAGCCATCAGGCTACTGGTGTACCCTTTGTGGTAAGAAGTTTACTCGCAAAGAACATCTAGAACGCCACATCCCTCACCGTAAGTATCCCCACTCGCTTTGGTTGCCTGCAACAGCATCAACCTTACTGACCCTTCTTTCAGACACTGGCATTAAGCCGTGGGGCTGTGACCATTGCCTTATGACTTTTGGCCGTCAGTGAGTATTGCCGTCTTTTATTTTCGGCCCGTAGCTTTGCTGAGACGCCTTTCAACAGGGATTTACTCCGTCGCCATCAGACCATCTATCATTCAATCCCAGATGGCTTGGACCCCGTTCCTGTCAAAGTCGGTTCGCACAAGCCGGACGTCGCCTGCAAAGCATGCCACAGAGCCAAATGCCAGTGCGATAAACGGAAGCCGTCGTGCGGGTCGTGCCTGAAGAAGGGCATCCAATGTGTCCCACGTGAGAACAAGAGGACAGCAAAGGCGCAGGTCCGGGCCAACCGTTCAGCAGCGACACAACCGCCTGCTCTACCCGCTCAACTCCCGCTACCCGCTCCGTCCGCACCAGTTGAGCGCAGCCACCAGGAGCCTGCCATGAAAGCTTCTCTCGAAGAAATGCTTGTTATGGCGAGGTGTTCACCAGAGGCAACGGGATCACAGAACTCATTCATGTCAGGATCTGCTATGACTGAAAATATGGCTGCGGGAGGCTCCTTTACCATGCACGACCTTGCTTTTACCAATCCCACCTACGAGGTTTTTGAGGGTTTTGGTAATCCGATCCAGTCGTTTGATCCAAAGGGCGCGGTTCTCGGTTCCCAGAGTCAAAATTTTACGACCATGATCGACGTGAGCCCTAACTCACCTTTCGGAACCGAATTCGAGGGATATAGCGGGATCACGGATTGGAGCGAATTTTCAATTTCAGACGGGACTGTTCCAGACTATGGCAGTTTTGCGGGCTATGGCGGCTTCGCGAAAAACGGCACCACCCACCACCCACTTGTAGGAAACCAACAGGCTTTCAAGCATATCGGGCAAAACGACGGGAGCGTCTCCGCCCAGCACAGGAGCCAGATGTCACAACCGTTGTTGTCAAACGCTGTACACCAACAGGTTTGCCCGCACTTCGAGCCAAACAATGGGATGATCATCTCCTCACCCCACACACCCCATCAAGGTTTTGCTTCGATGTCTTCTTACGGCCTGCCTTCGCCGGCCAAAACAACCCCGTCCCCTCCCGCTTCGGGCTCTTGCGCCCAATTTGAGGGAGACGAACCGACTCTCACGAATGGGGTGTCCCAACCCACCTTTTACAAGGACTGGAGGCGCATGGTTGGCGACATTCCTATCGAAACGTTGGCCGATTATCTCTCAGCGCACAAAGAGGAATTGAAGGAGCGAGGCATTTTGTAGCGCAAACCATCATCATGCATTCATAACCACATACGCGAACATATGCAGGGGGGCTAGCTGCCCCTAAAAGGCGGCGAAGAAGAGCGTTTTGTCTTTCATAGACAGCGAGCCTTTTGATGGTTTCAGGTTTCAGGAAAGAAAACCATCGTCTTGCATACCGGTTTATTTTACTTTAACATATTTGAGGAGTCAAGCCGCCACCACTATGATTGCGTGGTGGTGTTGTCATTATCATAAATTCATGATCACACTGGCTTGATGCCCTGGTATCACCAGACGAGTATCAGCTAAATTGCATTTCTGTCTGTTTCGAGTTTCGAGTCTGCTTTGTACTCCTGTCCTGTCTCTGATGTCGTCGTGCAAGCTCGATCTGGGAAGAAGCTGTGCACAGCGATGCTTCAGTTTCACCTTCTTACCTACCCTTACCTGTCTTTGTGCGCCTGTCGATTTTCCAGACAGAGAGATACACGAACGCATACACACACACACACTCACACACACGCATACCACCAAAATAGCACGACAAGACATCAATGGTTACAAACGAAACGTGGGGGATTAGCTATGATGGGTTGGATATTTTCCGAGGTTGTGCAAAGCATACACAAGGCACACCTACAAAGTACAAAGCACAAAGCACAGAGCATGGATTGGGTTGGACTGGGTTGGGGTCGGTGAGAGCCTTAAAGGGCAATGGCTACATGGTGACATGGTCACCTCACACGATGAGGCAGGACAAGACAGGCATGTTTAAGGAAGGACAACCTTGGGGAAGGAAACCCCAGCTCAACGAGCCGAGCTTAACAAACCTAGCTTAAAAAACCTAGCTCAACGAACCTAGCTCAACGAACCTAGCTCAATGAACCGAGCTCAGCAAACCAGGCTCAACGAACCTAGCTCAACGAACCTAGCCTAGGAAACGGCAGGAGCACAGTATAGGCTACCCCGTGGAAAACCATCTAGCGAAAATAAAATATTCTGCCCAGACAGACAAGCATCAGTGATCATTTTTTCTTTCTCGAATGTGTCCGCGTCCCTGTGTGCTTGTCTGATGTTTTGGGCGTGATGAAGACGGGATGTAAGTTCGTTCGGTCCGTGTACCGACCAAGATGGTCAAAAATATGGATACCTAGTTCAGGTACAGCTTCCACGATGCCGTGTATGTCAAACAATACCAATGGGAATGGTGCTGTTGTACTCATCATGATCATCATCATCATCATCATCATCATGCGATGTCCAGTCCTTTCAGTTGCAACTTGCCAGCAAAATTGTAGAGGTAGGTAGGTAGTAGACGCTCGCCCCTCATTGCATCTTGAAACTGTACACTTATGAGGTAACAGCCATGTCAGGTACAAGTAAAGTCACTCCATCTACCACACCATCTATCACTCCAAGTGCGGCGGCCTTAACTCAAAACAAATACTGCAACTTAACTTGATGAGCGGCTTTGGTACGGACCATGGTCCGAAATCTAGGTTACACAAAAGTACAAGACACAACGCACACACACACACACACACACACACACCAAACGTAGCAAAAAAGAAGAACAAAAAAAGTAGAGAAAGGAGAGGCTTGTGTCACCCCAAATACAAGCATGCGATATCAAGCCATTGTCATCATCGAACGGTTTTTTTTTGTGTTTCCTTTCCGCCATCATACTATACTTTTCCATGGATTCATCCCGAAAGTTTCCAAGTTTGGTACGCCGTTTTTGCTCATGGCTTACTTTTCCCGACGTTCCAGAATCACACGTAAGAGTTGATTAGTTGGCAGTGGACATGGAAGTTTGGTAATGTGTAATCCCGAGGTTGCAGTACCTTGAGGTTTTGAGAAAGGGGCAAGTAAGTACATGTAAGCGCAGGCTTTAGCCGCACCAGTTTTGAGTTTTTCTTTTATTGTTGTTGTTGTTGTTCTTTCCAGAGTGATTGTCAGCGGCAAGTTGATGCCGAGTGATTATTACAGACAGAGTTGAGAGGGGGTATTGGTGATGCCTCTAAAGGAGAAGATGGAAAATGACTGGATGATGATATGGATCTTGGCAACACCACTGACGTCCAGGATCATAATCTACAGAAGCTACTATTAATGGCTACTGGGTTAGGTTTCGGCTATTGACTATCATTGCCAAAGAAGGCTTTCGTAGAACGTGGAGTAAGGAATAGTTTGGAAAGGTGATGTTGTGCTGGTTTGATGCGCGCAATCATGGTCAGTACAATTTCCATGCACTGGACTTCCAGTCGATGAGACGGTGTCAGATTAAGCTTCAAAGAGAACAAGTCCGAGCTTAGCTTCCTTCCAAGCTCAGGGAAGCGATGTAGATCACCCCTCATCCAATGACATGGAGACGAAGGTGAAAGACGGGGGGTGGGTGTGTATTGTTACAAGGTGAATACCTGTAGGTGTATACCCCTGTGTATCGTAAGTGGAATGAGATTCTTGACCAATCCCGTGTCGGTGTTTTAAGGAAGGAAAAAAAAACAGAGAGGGTGTGTGAATCGGATCGTAACGGTTGCCTTTTCGGGATTAACCCGCTGCACGTGTAAATCGGACTTGTTCAAACTGAGTATGTGCTGCCTCTTTTACCCTTCTACGATGGTAGATGGTACATCGAAACGGCTCAGCCCAATCAGATGTTTCCGAAAGCGAGGGAGGGTGGCCAGACAATGTGTCCCTGCGTGCTGGAAAGGACGGGAAACAAATTGCGGTTCGCACTCTTCGGTTGCTATCCACTTGGAAGACTGTGTTAAACAACCCTTGATAAAGCGTGATAAATTCGTGCTACTCGGTCGGTGCTGATGGGTAGAGGCAGGGTGTATCAATGGGCATGGGAGGGAGGGATGGACGCGGGATGATACCGAAATTGCTGGGGTTTCTTCAGCCCCAATACCTGGTCGTCGCTCGAGGGATCAACCCTTTCTATGTAGGGGAGGATATGTATTAGCCGCGGAAATAAGTTGGGTATGGTAGCGATGGAATACGAGACCAATTAGCGAGGATGCGCATATCCGAGTTCATATGCTTCAAAACGCAAATGCTCTACGAAGCCAAAAATATGAAGCGGGAAATCCACCCACAGTCTTGGTCATTGGGAATAGTTGTTTATTTGCCGCTCCAGGCGGGATTTCACCCTTCCGAGAGACAGGAACCGCTACCGGGGACATGGCGGAGGATCATCGCCGCACGGGATTTCGCAGGAGACACTTTAAGCGCACCTTTGATTAGCATTGAAAGACCGCTGCCTGAGTAGCGATCCGTGATTTGTCTAATGTTTATTCGCTTGACAGGCAATTTTGGAGGGACATGGTGCTTGGATTTTCAAACAAAGCCAATCGGATAGCCCATGGTGTTAACTTGGATATGGCAGACTTACCAGGCACTGTCCTCAAACTCAACTGCGGATACCGTCAATCCAGAAGCCCAAGTCCGTGATACTCAGACTCTCGGATAGACGTCCATCCGCTAACCTAGGGTACCCGATTGCCAACTCACCGTCCAGATCTCGCAGTCGAAGTATGGGTATCGCCTCGTTTCTCTTGAGCCACTGGCAAGGTTTACTTTGTGTAGATCGGTTAGCTATCTCTCCGCAATGCGGTCCCATGATTGCCCCGTCTCCCGGAGGCTGATGCTTTGTGCAAGGTGAAAACTCGCTCGAGAAGGCCGGAGAAGTGCCGAAGAGTACCACAGCGTGGATGATATTGCATGAGCGATGACTGTAGCTGTAGTGGCTTGCACCATCGTGGAGCCAGCGCAACACCGCTTTTGCAGAGGCTCTTTCTAGCGGGGTTGACGATGGACCAAGCCCCAAAGGAGCGATGCTGGCTCGTGGTGTCTTCCAGATTGTAAGCTTTGATCCGAGATGATAGAGGTACGGCGGGCGCTTTTTTGGGTCCCGAGGGAGCACGGCAGGAGTAGTCATGGGTAGCATGCTGTCAATGCTTGCTTCCCTGGTGTGCATGCAGACCGGAAGGCCGGGAACTTTGCACAAGGGATGGGTTACCCTCATCGTCGAGGGAGGCCATGAGGCACTCGGCGAGTCTCAAGCCGTGAGCTTTGTGCCAGTCGTGACTTCTCGGACGTGGGGTATCGAGAAGATTGATCAAAAGGCGGGTGGCCGGCTGCGGGTGCGGGTGCGTACGGGGAGCACAACAGACGACAACACACGGCCGTAAGTCCGCAAACCTTGTGAAAGTGGTAGGCTAGCGCGCCCAGTGCCAGATGCAATGATGCAGTGATGGCAGGCAGCAAAACTCGACGAGACAGCACCCGTTCCTGTGATTTCCTTTCTTATTCTTCGCTCGTGTTGAATCTTCTATTATCGTGGCCGGGGTGGGCGCGGGCCACAGGCTAAAGTCGCAACGAGGACGGCGAACCACGGTTCGGGATCCTGGATAGGGTATCGGCGCATATTGCTTTGTGCTTCGTTGATCTGCCGTGCGAACGAGGGAAGTAGGCCATCGAAGTTGCTAATTGCTTCGATCCTTGAAGGGGACTGACGCAATACGGCGGCGCGAGGTCCCGGGGCAAGGGAGGCGGATCTCGTGTCATCTCGACGGCGTGGTTGCTGGGTGTTTTTTTTCTCTCTCCATGGGATGTCTGCGAACTATTAGCGGCTCGTAGCTTGGCGGGAATGTTTGAGGTATTGGATTCCGTCTTGTTTGATTGTTTTAGATTGTATTATTGGCATCGGGATGCGCGAGAACTCGCCTGTCATCGATTTGTTGCTGCCATCGGGCGGCCGGGCTCAGCCTTCGGAATGCCTTGGTTGAGAGGCTCGTTTTGGCCTTGTTGCTTAACGTGGATTTACCGATCGTGAAATGATCGGTCAGTGGAATGCAGCTGGATGCGGTGCAGAAGACAGGATTATGGATCGTACGTGCCTGTTGCTGATCAGACATGCACGATTCCGCGACAGCGCAGAAGTTGTTTCTGGATCCAAGTCATGGATCTAAAAGGCAGAGCGGATGGAAGTGGTTGGATTGGCGCCGAAGACGGTA